AGAGCGGTTTCAGTGGAAGAGAGGGGTGAGAGCCTGGCTAGAGGGGCCTCAGGAAAGAACAGGAGGACGGAGATTGGAAACTGTTCTATGGAGAGCTTTCAAATTTGGCTTTAAATGGAAGGTGGGCAATGGGGTGGTATCAGTAGGGGTGAGTCTTGAGAAGGTTGATTTGTTTTTGGTTTCGTTTTTTTGATGAGAAAGTGAATAGCATATTTGTAAACTGACCTACCTGTGTGTATCTGGGGATTAGATGCCTAAATGCTGATAGAGATCTGTGGGGATGGGAGTTTTGATTGGAAGTAAAGTCTGTTTGAACAGATCATTTTGGATCATGTGGTCTTATGAAAATGTCACTGCTGTACTGGGTGACGTGAAAATACTGGCAACACATAAGGAGAACAGAAGGGGCACCAGAAGATGGATAGGACAGCAGAAGAGGAAGGCATCCAAATCAAATATTGCCTATTTGCATTTTGCATAAAGTTGAGGTTACTGCAGTCCCTAAGGTGTCAGTGGAAAATCTCGCACATGCCATAGAAGTTTAGTCTAAATGGAAACTTAACAAAAAAAATTTTTATAAAGATATAACTCTTTTTTTTTTTTTTTTTATGTTCAGCTCATCGCTGTGGGAAAGGTAATTTTGAATGGGTTTAAAGGTGGAGTAAGGCCATTTTCATACACTGGACACTTTGGAAATCAGTCTGCCTTCTGTTGAGGGATTAGAACAGTGGTTTATGTTAATTACATATCTCTGTAACACTCTCCACCAGGAACTGTGTCACCAGTAATGCAGGTGTTCTTGATGACACAAGTAATCCAGCTAACAGAGACCTACAACATAGGGTTTAAATTAATTATCAGTGTTGACGCAAGTGTAAGCCTGGATATATTGTAGATGTTGAGATGAAGACTGAAGAGTCTCTTATCAGCCAGCACCTGTGGTACCAGTGCCTTTGTCTGGGTGCCACAGATTCAGGAGCTGATTCTCTTTTTTCCAGGAGTAGAGACTATTCCATCCACTCATCCAGACATCCAGAGTAGGCTCTGTGGAGATAATTCCTGTCAAGCATGAGATTGGGAGACAGACTAAGCAATTAATTAATCAAAGAGATGATGAGATTTGGGGAGCCTCCAGGTCTCACTGTCATCTTTGAGAAAGTCGTGTATTTGCCTGTATCTCCAAAGAGTAGAATACATATTTCTTTAGGGCATAGCATCCTCCTGGACAAACTGTAATCATTCCATAATGTAGCCTCTCTTTTCACAGTGCTCTTTTTGGAAAATACAGTATGGTCTGAATCCCTGGATTGGACTAGATTCTAGTACAGATTACTGTTTAGTCTGTCACTTTGGGAAACAAACTCTCTGACTACCCTGTGTTCCCATTAGATAAATAGGTATAACATTGTTACTGCATATGCTCTGACCTTGTGTGAATATAATCTTAGCATGGAAAACAGTGAAGTATTTTAAGGAGAAAAGGTTACCTAAGAGCCATAGATAATGATTTATTTATGAGCTATCAAGTTTAAGCTTTTGTATTACACTTCTGAGTGATATTCTTTTGTTCTTTCTGCCATTATTTCAGGCACATAGGATATACTAAGATTTAAGGGTGTAGCAAGTGGGAAAACTTACACAAAACTGTTTGTAGTACCAGTGTAATAAGCCGCTTTGCCTTGTTGATTAGTATATTAAAATAAATGTTACAGGTATGTGTTAGAATTCACCAATATGTAAAATTGAAATTATGTCACAGGAATAGTGATGAAAATAACACTTCTGTCACATTTTAAAAGTTGATTTTGTTTTCCTTTTCAGGATTTAAAGTGTTAAACTCTTCATTTTGGCCAGATGATTAGAAAGATATAGTTCTCCTGATTCTTTTTATACTAGAATAATCTTTCATTATTAATCCATTTAAGTCATCTCCAATCGGTTCATCCGTGCTACCAATTAAAAATAGAAAATGTATGTGCTCAATTTCAAGAATTAAAAATAATGCCTTGGGAGTAGCATTTCTTTCCGTGGTGAGAGGATTGTTGGATTTTCCAATTAAAGAAGTCTCCATACTGGAAATGAGTAGTCAATTATGAAGGTTATTTTTGAATAGCCAATTTGCATATCCCTAATTGTATTCATTTCCTTTGAAAGACTGAACTTGGAATTTATGATGTTTTGATTGGTTAACCTTGCACTGGTGTTATTAATACTACTGCCAACAAGGTTCCCCTATGAATGGGGCTTTGAGTGCCTTTCCTAAATAAATGTTTGAATGATAAGTAGGTTTGTTTTATTTAATGAATGAAAATATCTGAAAATTTACTAGCAGTTTTCTAAATTTGCACTCACTGCACTTTATTGGATTGACAGTAACATCCCTGAGCTGCCTACTGCGCTCATATTTGGACTTTTCGACATCAGCAGATGAGAGCCATTGGAAGTTCCTATCATGATGCTGTCTGCTGGCCAAAAACGCAAATGGCTGCCTCTGCCATTTATACAGCAGTGTTTTGCCCAATTACTTGATTATTTTATTATATGTTGCGCCTATTTTAAGAAAAATGACTTGGAGATGGACAGTTAAACATTTTTATATTAATGATGAGAAGCATAGTTCTCATATGAAATAAAATTGAGATGAAGATGGGAATAATTAAAACTTCTGAGGTTTAGCGTCTTTGGACTTAAACCAATCAACATGGAGTTAGTCATGAAGGAAAATAATGAAATTACAGGCATGAATACAAATGGGATATCTATGTGTACAAGATAAACACAGATTGTGTGTAAATATACACATGTATGTATGGTTCTACTTATTATGATTGTGTCTGAAAGGCAGTTAGAGTTAGGGATTTTATCGTCTTTACCTCTAAAACTGGAATGTCCTCTTCTACAGTGTAAGTCTATTGTTCAAATCCTGCATATTCAACTTTCATGTCTGGCAACACTCTTGAATGAAAGAGATACTGAAGTCCTTTTAGGCATATGAGAAAAGGTGGTGAGGGGAGGTGGCAGCCATTTCATTCCTTCCAGAGGGTTAGCCAAAATTGGATCTCTATTTCAGGAATATACAAACAAACCATTAATTATTTCCTGACCATGGCACTTTTAGGCATAATACTGAATTAAGAGTTGTGCTACAGTAACACTAAGTTTTCAGTTTTAAGAGGTCATTTTTTTAAAAACCAAATAAAGATCACAATCAGCTAGATACAGGGTCGATGTGATATGCATGTTCTACAAAGTAATTAGTGCTGTTGGATTTGTTTGTAGCTGATTGCTGTGTTTGACGAACAAGAGCCACTCCACAAGATCGAGAGCCCCAGTGGAAACCCCGCAGGCCGGCAGAGCCCAGATGCTTTTGAGACAGAAGTGGCTGCCCAACTGGCTGCGTTTAAACCAGTTGGTGGGGAAATTGAAGTAACCCCTTCTGCTCTGAAATTAGGTAGGTGTATTATTTTAGTGGTGCGCTTTTCACCTGGTTGAAATACCTCATCTTGCTGGCTATGAGTTTCTTCTACTTTATGACTTACCCTGTTAGTGTTTGCCTTTAAAAAAATAAACCTGGTTTGTCTTTCTCTAAATTATTTTTTTTACGTAGATCTTTGCAGCTGCTGATGCTCAGGCAATAGATGCAGTTTTTCTCTTGAATTGCAAGTGAATCTGAATTGCATATCCTTGAAGTTACTGGGGAGGAGTTGGACTGTAAATGATGAGCTTCATCTGCAGCATATGAGGACTGCTTGAATTTTTTAAAAAGTCCCTGAAAAAAGTCACTTGGAAAAAGCTAAAGGTTATCAAGGAATCCAGGCTAGAAATAAAAGGTCACTTTCTGTTTTAGCCACCTTTTTCTTCTCCACAAGTTGTATAACTCAGTTTGGGGGAAACATTTTGAAGTTAGTTTCTAATTCTGTGCAACTGATTTATTCCAACCTGGTGATTTTGCTCAGAATTCCCTTTTGTTATATTTGTTTTGAAGGTGTTGGTAGAAAGAGAAAACAAACATTCTTCTAAAGTTTTAGTGAATTTATGTCTCCAAGATAAATAATGTCAGTTATTGGTGATAACTCTTAAAGATAATTTTAGGTCAGTTTAACAGCATAAAGTTTTGAAAATCCACTAATATTTTGGTACTTAAAACCATTTTTTATTCCCGTTGAATGTATGCATACCTTTTGAGACAGCTCTAAGCGCCGGTTATAGGTTAATTCTCAAGCTAGAACAGAGGTTTTTTTCCACTTTGCAAAGGGAAACATATGCTTAAAATTGTAAAAATTTTACATAGTATAATTTTTGCCATTTGAAACAAAATACATTATAAAGTTTATTTTACATGCCACAATACTGAATATTTATATTTTGAACTAATTTTCTGGAAAGCATCTACAGTGCCCCTTTTAAAATAAACCAAGTGGAAATTAATGACCCATCATCTTCATAATTTTTCTCTATCTTTTGGAAACCAAGCTAGCAGAGCAGTTCTGCTGGAACTCGGTCGTTGGAGGGCTTTGTGGCAGCTTCTCTTCATCTGGAGTGAAGTTTGTGGCTTCAGCAACCTCACAGCCCTATCATTCATTTGCATAATGGATGCCTTTTATCCATTATGCAAATAGTATGGGAGGAAAATTAGGCAATAAGGGAAGACGAAAGGAGAAAATTGCTTGTTTTAATATTCTATTTATAAGCAAGCACTGTGGTCTTCAAAAGGCTGAACCTCAGAGTACCCCTGTGCCTGGGAATTTGTTTTTTCACCTTTCTCTTATGAGCTTTCTCAGGGAAAAATGTTTGTTTTTCTTTAGCTTTTTCAGCTTTTGTTGAACCATCTGAGCAGTATAACGTTCAGTATAGAAAGAAAAGTAAGCTGAGGTTCCCCATCTTTGAAGGTGGACTTTCTGCTTCTTCAATACTGATTTTGGGTCAGACACAGATAGGAAACAATATTTATTCAGTGGTGCCTATATGCCAGGCACAGAACTCAAGGCAGTGCACCGCGTATTCTAAATCCTGTACTCCTAACAATTCATTTAAGCCTCGTGATACTTAGTTGGGTTCTATTATCTCCCTAATTTAAGAGATGAGAAAACAGGCCTAGAGCAGTTAAATAACTCCTCCAAAGTCACATAGCTGTTAGGTGGCAAACTTAGGATTTGAACCCTTGGTAGCTCCAGTGTCAGGAACAATTTTTCTGTGCTGTCTTTCATATGCTCTTTGTAAAATAATACAGTGATATCATTTTCCTGAGAGTCATTTTGTGAATATGTATCAAACCCTGAAAATGCTTAACTCCTTGGCTTCAAAGCCCATTTCACCTAGTGTCACAGATGAAATGGTGAGACTGGCCAGCCTTCAGTATTTGGTGGTCAGTGTTGCCTTCCAGCCATTCAATCTGAAACCGTGGCATTATATCCTTTTCCTTCCTTTTCTTCCTGTCATCCACAGTTTCTTCAGCCTTCATGTCCATGACCACTGAAGCAGGCCAGAGCTTTCCCATCAATCAGACTACTGCAGAGGCCTCAAACTGACCTCCTCCTTTACAGGGCCGGCTTTCGCCAATCTCTGCTTCTGCCAGATCTACCTTTCTAAATCACAAAGCTGATTATATAACTCCCCTGCTCAACAACTTCCAATGGCTTCCCACTGCTAGGAGAACCATGTCCAAACTCATTAGCAAGCTGATGCAGACAGTTCCTCAGAATTAGATGGAGGTATTTGGGCAGGGATGCAGGATGAAGAAATCATCCCTTATCTACTCTCATGGTTCTGTCAGACTCAGTACTTTACATTTCTGGAACTTTAAAAGCAAAGAAAAAAAAATATTTATTGAGTTTCTCAGATAGAGGAATTAAAGACAGAAGCAAAGCCACCAGCTTTGGTATCTGTCCATTCTGTTTTCCTTTCATTGCCCTCAGGGCAGGGTGTGGTCATGGCTTGGGTACACGGGGATCTCCGGAGGGATATGCTTGGCAGCAGATGCAGTATGCGTGAATGGCTCTTCTGGGAGGTGACCTCCTTGTGCTGCCAGGCCCACCCTGAGACCTTGTTTAGCAGAAGAATGGGAGAGGGTAGTCAGAGGAGGAGTAGCATGTGTGTGTCAGTGATTCTTCATCACAGGGGGCATATAAAATGCCAAGCCCCAAAGCCCCAGCCTATCCTCTCTGCTCCACACTCAGCTTTCGGAGGCCATGGGATCTGGTTCTACTTCTCATGGGCCTCATTAGCCCAGGCTGGTACAACACACGCGGGGCTGATTCTCCCTGGTTTTCTCGCTCTTGAGATCCATCCAAGACGATGGGGAATTTAACCATTATCGGTTTGCATGCTTATCTTACTTAAGATAACCTGTTACAGTTTAACAGATATTGGGAATCTAGATGTTCTTACCATTAGGTCATGTTAATCACCAAAAATGTAGGTTTTACTGATACTGAAATAAAAGTGCACTCAACATTCAGTATAATTTTTGTATCTTTCTCCAGCACAAGTTAGTCATCATCAGTATCCTGTTAAAAACTGACAGCCTTCCCCCCACCTCCATACATGCGGACAGTGGTTGGGCCCACCTCTTTTCTTTATCTTCCAAGTTGAAACACTTATACACAGAATATGCAGGAAGCTCGTATTCAGGGGCTCTTCGTGATCTATCCCCTTCTTGTCTGCCCGCTTTTATTACTAGCCTCTGTTCTACAATCACCTTAACCTGCAGCTACCACAAGCCACTTGGCTTTCTCTAAATTGGCAACTTTCTTTCAAACCTTTGTCTTTGTAGTTAGTGTTCCCTTCACCTGGCTCACCCCTTTGCCTCTTTTCTACTTGGTGAAATTGTATGCACCTTTTAAACTCAAGCTCAAATATGCCCTTGTTTGTGAAACCTTGTCCAAATCTTCAAGATAGGATGGTAAGTGTACCATAAATGCATTTCTTAATTCTTCATCAACGAAGGGATACAAAGGTGAAGAAAATTTCTACTGACCAAAAGGGATTCATAGTTTTGCACCCTGTAAGCTAATGGGGTATATATATTTTTTACATTTGCAAGACGAATTTTAAATCAACGGGGCAAACACATAATTCCAACTTCATCTAAATTATTTCCTACCATTTATTTTGTAATGGATTTTCTAATGTAATGCTAAACGACTAAGCCCTGACTCAGCCCTAACTAGCAAATCATTCTAACACTTCAAGATTATAATGTTTCTGTAGTTGGCCAGTACATATTACTGTGTAGACTAGAGATTGTAACCTAAGAGTCTATTTAAAAGAAGAGAGAGGGTAGAACAAACACCAGGTAGAATAGCAAAGAATCATATTCACAGAGCCCATTTAGACTTTAAAATCACCTAGTTCAGGAGTTTTCCAGGTCTTCTTTGAGGAGCCCTATGGTACTTCCTAACACGTTTTGGGATTTCAACAAATATTTGATTCTAGTTAATTAATAACATTTATTGAACACTTAAATTGTAGATGCTATTTTTAATTCATTCACACTCACTCTTTGTACACATAAGATTGGTTATACTAGCAGGGAAGAAAGGGATGCAGAAGGCTGTTGAGTAGGCAATAGAGAATCCTAATACCGTTTAGAAGTCCTACAGCAAAGAAACCTACCTTCACTCAAAAGAATTGTTAGCACCTCTTAGAACAACTTTTGTGAAAAGCTGATCTGTTAATAGACAATTCCATAGAATTTCATAAGAGCAATTTTCTAGACAATTAACATTATTTTACAAGTGACCAAGTAAAAGCTTAGACTCAGTGTGTGCTGTGATGTCAAATAACTAGTTGGTTAAAGGAGTAGAATTGGAACCTGCATTTCTTGGCTTTCAGCTACATGACATCTTTTGGATTAATTGTAGGTTTCAATTATCTGTACCTTTTACTACTATATGGGATAAAATAACACCTTATATCCTTTTGGAACGAGATAGAGTGTAAATTAATAAATATATACTGTGAATAGTTGTAAATAAAAAGCTAATAAGGAAGTACCAGAAAATTAATATGGAGAAAATTTCTTTTAAATCCTTCTGTGTCAGAAATGAACTTGCTTCTATTTCTTCATCCCATGTGTATGCACACACATGCACTTGCACGCATGTGTGTATGTTTGGGGAAAAATTGCACTGAAACAAACATGCTAATATTTGGGATACCTGGTAATTTTTCTCCCATATTGTGGATACTGTTGTCCTTTTTGACATTGCAAGTCTCTGCATGTGTAGAGCCTTCTGTAAATAAGACAAATTAGTGAGGACGTTTACTTTGATGTTTGGAAGAATGAGAGTCCTTTAGCCTTTCTCCAGCTAATCCTTATGCTGCCTTTATGATCAGCGGTAACTGGCCTTCTGCTGTTCCCCAAAAGACTTCATGAGGCTGTAGTCCAAGGTTGACCCAATCCTTGTCCCTTGAGAACCAATGATATGGAGCCAGTCCCAGACCCTACAG